GAGAATGTTTTTTTACAATGACTAGTTGCGTAAAGTGATGAGATCTTCATTAGTTGTAACCACATGGTGAATTGTGGGTGATGGATCACAGTTCTGACTAAAAACATTAACTGATTGTTGGTAGGAAAAAGGCTGCCTCTCATATTGAAGTCCAGTGGAAGCAATGACCAAAAATGTTTTGGGGAAAAAAAGTTATATATATATGTATTTTACTTCACGACAAAGTTCATTGGTTAAAAAAACCTGGAATTATTTTTGAAAGTCTGTTGCAGAGTCAGAGAAACTGGCTCCTGGTGAAATGATTTAAGTTAGTTTAAGCCTTTTTTGTCACAGCCTATATTAAAGGGCCCAAATGCAGAACATAGAACTCGGAGTCATTTAATGTGTTTTTAAAAGCAACTGGCAAAACTCACAGTAGTAGTCAGGTTGATCCAACATGAGCGAGTGAGTCAGTGAGTTTACAAGTGTTGTCTTTACCTGGCAGAGATTTAGTAGAAGCTTCTAAGCAAACTTATTCTTAGCACAGTAACACTGGTCAAACCTTCAAACCAAGGCTTGGGATAAAGCAGAATACCATAGCAGGAAAAGCATCTATGTTGTCGCGGTGGAAGGCAGCCAAAAGGTCAGGATCCAGGATGGGCCAAGCAGGCAAGCATGACTGGTCTTCAGCTCCAAATCCCTCCTGGTCAGCTAAATATTGGAGATCACAACCATTGCATCTAGACTTGCCTGGGAAGAGAAAAGGTTAGGCCAGTGTACCTTCCCTCTCCTTGTTACCATTCGGCCACACCGAATGACATTCCGATGTCCGTGAGTCAATGTCTTGTTCACTCCTGGCATAAAGCTAAATGTCATCCATGTAGAGGAGGTGGCTGAGGTGGCTGGGTGCTCCATTCCACAGTTGGTATCCGTAACCACTCTTGGTGATGTTCTGGCTGAGGGGGTTCAGCACTATGCAGAACAGCAGCGGAGACAGAGCATCTCCTTGGTAGATACTGCACTTGATGCTGACTTGTGCAATTGGCTTGAAGTTGGCCTCTAGGGTTGTTTTCCACATTCCCATTGAGTTCTTGATGAAGGCTCTTAGAGTCCTGTCGATGTACAGTTCCAAGCATTCCAGGATCTGTGCGTGAGGCATTGAGTCATAGGCTTTCTTGTAGTCGATCCAGGCAGTGGACAGGTTGGTATGCTCGGTTTTGCAGTCTCAGGTGACTACTTTCTCAACCAGTAGCTGGTGTTTTGCTCCTCTGGTGTTACTACCAATTCCTTTCTGGGCATTGCTCACGTATTGAGCCATGTGGCTGCTCATCTTAGCTGCTATAATGCCTGATAGGAGCTTCCATGTTGTGCAGAGGCAGGTTATTGGGCAGTAGTTGGATGGTACTGCTCCCTTCTGAGGGTCCTTCAGGATCAGGACTGGCTCAGTGCAAATCTCAGCCTTTAGGGAAGAGGTGTGAGGTCCAGTGTTCTGTGTCTGTCCATAGGGGGAAGCTTGTGTGTATGACTAGAGGCTTCATCAGTTCTGCCTGAATGGTGGTGAGCAGGAGGTATTTATCCTACTGAGTGGTGTTTCAGTCCCTCGTCGGCCAACAGTGGCCAAAACAGCCATTTGGAAGTGGGAACACTGAACAAGATGGCGCCGCTGATCCACCACAGGCCGCTGTACCTCCTATGCTTGTTTTGTTTTGTTATATTTGATGCTGCCTCTGTTTTCTCTGCGCTGGTATATGATCACCTGACTCTTTTAGAAATACATAACTCAATGTTTAGTTGTCCTAGTGTCCACCAAGGCTATCAATCGAAACTACTGCCACCTCCACTGGCGTCCATACCTCCTTTCCTTCGACGCTCTGCTGGCCCTTTCCTGAGGAGATTTCATCGGAGGCGATGCGGCAGGAGAGCTGGACTTCATGTTAAGTTGAAAACTTGCCTGAACTCATCAATGTGGACTGAGCACCTCCTGGAGTATGGCAACCTTGACCCTAGCTGGCCAACTATTGCTTTCTTTGACCGGTCGGCCTAGACGTTGACCCTCCTCGCCCACTTTACTGGCTTGTGAGACGCTCTGACCGGCATTGTTCTCAAGCCAATCTTTGCCCAGTGGCTCCCGCCGGCCCTTCTCTCCAACAAGCAAAAGCTGGCCTCTCTCAGGATAAGTCAAGCCCGCTTCACTTTGGTCTCTTTAATGCAAGATCACTTAACAATAAAACGTTTGTCCTTAATGACTTTATCTCTACGTACGATCTGGATATGTTTCTTATCACTGAAACCTGGCTGAAACAAGGAGATAATAGTCTTTTTTCTGAGCTCCTTCTGGCTGATTACTTGTTTTTCAACACCCCGCACCTCGCTGATAGAGGCGGTGGCTTGGCATCTGTTTTTAAGCCGACCCTAAAATGTCACCTTCTCCCCTCCAATGCCTACTCCAGTTTTGAGTTACAAACCTTTATTGTAACACTTCACTGTCCTATTTTATGTGCAGTTATATATCATCGTCCTAAATCCAAGGATTTCATAAATGAATTTGGGGAACTCTTAGCAGTGCTTATCCCACAGTGTGACAGTTTACTGATTTGTGTAGATTTTAACATTTACATCAACTGCTCCTCTGACCAGCTGGTGAATGATTTTAACTCATTGTTGGACTCCTTTGATCTTACCCAGTCAGTACTATGCCCCACTCATCAACGTGGGGGCATACTGGACCTCGTTATCTCACGAGGTCTGTCTGTCTGCATTGGGGGCATTGGGGATGTATCAAAGTCGGCCATCTCTGACCACTTTGTCCATTTTGAAGTCCTGGCGCTGTCAAGTGCATCCAGACCCATGGCCCTACACCAGCACCGCAGGATTATTACTCCCTTAATAGCTCCCAACTTTGCTGCTGCTTTCTTGGCCTCTGGATTTTTACTCATCAGAAGCTCTTAACCCTCCTACATGCCCTGACGTCTTTCTCTCTTTGTTTGACTCTACATGCTCTCAGATTTTGGATTCCATCGCTCCCTTTAGAAGGATGAGCGCTAGAAATACTCCTGACCTGTGGTTAAATGATACTACCCGTTCCTTGCGGAGACGCTGCAGACAGGCGGAGCGTAAATGGAGGAAGGATGGCCTGCACATCTCTCTGGACATTTTAAGGGACAGCCTGGTCTCTTATCAGAAAGCTGTAAAAGATGCTAAAACCCAATATTTATCTAATATTATTTTGAATAACAGTCACTGTCCCAGTTCTTTTCAAGACCATCAATTCGGTTATTAATCCTGTTGTTGCTCTGGCCACTGAGGGGTCGGTTCGAACCTGTAATGAGTTTCAGAATTACTTCATTGACAAACTTTGGGATATTAGACAAAGTATCCCCAAGTTTCCATTTTCTGTACCATCTGTTTCTCATGTAATGTATACTCTGGAAACCTTCACTCCGATCTCTCTG